TGGCAAACCAGGGTTTCTTCATGCCCAAACTGGGCTAAATCTCCGAGCCTGGGCTGAGCCCCATCTCAGCTGAGCCCTCACCCCTGGCTGGACTCCCAACTCCGAGCTGAAACCTCAACCCCAAGCTGAGCTTCCACCAGGGACTGAAGCCCCTAACCCTGCAGGGCTACAACTTCCCACCGTGGGGAAGGACTGGGCCAGGAGATGCTGCCCGCTGGGCCCTGTCTGCCCATGAGAGGGGGAGACAGCTTGGCTGTGGAGGACAGAGGCTGCTGGAGGTGGGGATGGAGGATGGCAAGGACAAATGGCGGGTCCAGGAAGAGGGCCTTCCAACAGCCCCTCCCATGTCTTTCATGCCTGCAAAAGGTGCCCGTGGGCACCTGAGTCAGGGCCTGTTCCTCTTCTGCCCACAGCACTCCAGACTCCCATGCCCTGCACTGTCCCCTCCCATTCATTCTTCAGCTCCGGGCTCCCTCCACTCCAGCCACAAGGGCCTCCTTGCTGTTTCCCACCTGGCCAGGCCTGGTCCTGCGCCAGGCCTTTCTGCGGCTGGGTGGCCTGCTCCGCTGGATTGAGGCAGGGATCGTCCACGCCCCCCGCCCTCAAACGTTGTCCAGGGCACAGAATACCTGCTTGCCCACCCCAGGTGCTCCAGGCTTCCTGTGGCCACCTGTCCTCAGCCCAAGCCTGCCCCTAAACAGGACACACCGCACATGCACTCTATCAGACACACTTGCACGCTCACATGCCCCAGAGGGCCCACACACATTCACACAGGCACACACACATGCCCCAGAGGGCCCACACACATTCACACAGGCACACACACATGCCCCAGAGGGCCCACACACATTCACACAGGCACACTCACACACACAGCCCGAGGGCCCACACACATTAACACATGCACACAACCCAGAGGGCCCACACACATGCACACTCACACATTCACGCATGCACACTCACACACACACAGCCCCAGAGGGCCCACAGACATCCACACATGCACACTCACACACATGCCCCAGAGGGCCCACACATTCAC